CTTAAATAGGGCTTAAACCATGAAAATAGGGTTTAGGCACTGATTGGGTATGCCCAGCGTACTCCTGGTACGCCCAGCGTACTCAGGATTCCATTAGTACGCCCAACGTACACCTTTTTGTACGCCCAACGTACTCAGCTTGGCCTAAAACCACCCAAACTTCAAACGGTCATAACTTCTTCGTTCTAACTCCGTTTTTGACGTTCTTCATATCCACGGAAAGGTATTGAGGAGCTCTACAACGCTATCTAATTAATTTTGACTTAAAACACATCGAACTAAAATCCATAATTCATAGAAGAAGTCTAAAACACTACATTCCCATTTTACCCTTTGACTCCAAAGTGCAAACCGAACTATTGGGTCACATATCTACATTACCCACATCCAAATGGGCCTAAATCTTACCTTTTCAAAGGACCTAATCCTTATGATGAATGCTCTTAGGGCCACAGCCTCGAATTAGGAATTGATTCGGACCAGGCCATTACATATAGCGAGCATCCATCATCTGTCTGAACCTGAATCGTATAGAGAAGCTGTTTTAGATCCTAATTGGCAGAATGTTATGGTTGAGGAACTCACTGCTCTTCATCAGAATCATACATGAGATTTGGTTTCCCTTCCTCCTGGGAAACATACGATAGGTTTCCGTTGGGTGTACAAGATAAAAACGAAACTTGATGGGTCTGTTGAGCGGTACAAGGCCAGACTTGTAGCAAAAGGGTATTCCCAACAGTACGGTTTTGACTACGAGGAGACATTTTCCCCAGTTGCAACGATGACGACAGTCTGTACTATGATTGCAGTTGCATCCGTTCGACAGTGGAAGATCTTTCAAATGGATGTCAAGAATGCATTTTTGAATGGTGACCTCCATGAAGAGGTTTATATGACTCCTCCCCCAGGAATTCAGCACTAGTCGGGTGAGGTTTGTCGGCTTCGCAAAGCTTTGTATGGTCTCAGGCAAGCCCCTCATGCTTGGTTTGAGAAATTCTCCACAGTGATTACCTCTCTTGGATTTATCCAGAGTAATCATGATTCTGCTTTGTTTATTAGATGCTCGAATACAGGACAAATTCTTTTGTCTTTATATGTGGATGACATGATTATTACTGGTGATGACCATGGTGGTATTGAGTCTTTGAAGCATGATCTAGCTTATCGATTTGCTATGAAGGATTTGGGCTTGCTGCGTTATTTATTGGGTATTGAGGTAGCTCAGTCTAAGAAAGGGTATCTTTTTTCTCAAACTAAATATATATCTGACTTGTTTACACGGGCGGGCCTCTCAGACAATCGGACTGTTGATACTCCTCTTGAAACCAATGCACGGTACTCTCCTACTGATGGTGTTCCTTTGTCCGATCCGAATCTTTATCGCACTGTTGTGGGAAGTTTGGTTTATCTCACATTTACTCGTCCAGATATTGCTCATGTTGTTCATGTTGTCAGTCAGTTTGTTACTACTCCTACCTCTGTTCATTGGGGAGCTGTACTCCGTATTCAGAGATATCTTCGTGGCACTCAGTTTCAGGCCCTCTTGTTTCCCTCGACGTCTTCTCTTGAGTTACGTGCCTATAGTGATGCTGATTGGGATGGCGATCGTCATGATCGTAAATCCACCACCGGATTTTTCATATTTCTTGGAGAGTCTTTCATTTCATGGAAGAGCAAGAAACAGGACGTTGTCTCTAGATCTTCAACGAAGGCTGAATATCATGCTATGGCTGTAACTACAGGTGAGATTATCTGGTTACGGTGGCTGCTTGCGGATATGGGAGTTCACATTTCTTCATCTACTCCCTTGCATTGTGATAACAAAAGTGCGATACAAATTATAATGAATTTTGTTTTCCATGAGCGGACGAAGCACATTGAGATTGATTGTCATTTTACCCGTCATCACCTACAGCTCGGGACCATATCACTTCCGTTTGTTTTATCAAACTTGAAGCTTGCGGATATTTTTACGAAGGCTCTATCGGCTTCTCGGTTTCGGTTCTTGTGTGACAAACTCTCAATGCTTATTGTTGTGGCATTGTGAGTTTGAGGGGGGATGTTAGCCTATATATTATTAGCCCACATGTTTATGGGTCATTTAGTCTTTAGCCCATTAGGGTTTTGTCTAGCTAGTATTTATATCCGCTTTATTCTTTGTAGCCTTCATGTTTTTTATTGATAATCTTGTAATTTCTTTCTATCATAATCATATGACAATATTATCAGGTTTGTGTCTAATCCCTATGTATCTAATGAGACAAATTGTTTTACGCATTTCCTTTATATGCAACATGTAGTCCATGTTAAAGAACATATATAAGACTTGGTTTATTAGTGTCGCTTTTGGTGAGTATTAGAAAGCTTCATATATTAGTTTTTTATGGTCCTGTTTTGGACATAGTTCCATTTGTTTTGTATGTTTGGACTGGAGTTTTGTATGGTACTCAACATTATTGAAAATAATGCCTCACATTGCATGCTAGTAACTATGATTATTTTTTGGTGTTACAGTAATTCCTCAAAACATGTGCTTTAGTGTCACCTCCTAGAATGATCTTACATATTTTCCCTTCAAAGTGATTGAAATTATGTATTTATAGCCTTTATAATAAAGTCACATTTAAACACGGCTTTTGTTGATGTCATGGTACTTTGACTTGGACGTAGGTCTATATGTTGGCATAGGGTTAAACTTAAATGCTTGACCACTGTGTCCGAGTAGTCTGTCACTACGGGTATGTCGTGTTTCAAACTACTTTATATTTTGAGAGACCATCTTAAACCACTTTTACAAACATTGCTAAGGTTCTTTACGCCACAAATCCACAAAACGTCCTTGAAATGCATTTGTCTAGTCTCTCAACTCAATTTTGACAATATACTTTGCAACCCATACCATTTTCCCTTACAAGTTGGTTGATTAACAAGAAAAAATACTCGACCATCATTGATACACCACATATCTCTATTTCTCACTAATATATTGTACTTGTAATCATGAAAATTTATCCCACGTCTCAAAATATGTACATTTACGACCACGTATAATCTAACACTAACTACTAGTATTCCAACAAGTATACAAAATATTAGGTGTTAAGAGTCTGAAAACTGGTTTTTGGCTCTCTAGACTCCGATTACTCATTGGACATGTTAATCAAAATTTCCAGCCCTCGGCCACCTTGTTGTACCAAAATCCAGAACCCCGATCTATGTTGCACCCAAAATCCTAATCTATGCATACAAATGAAGAGCAAATGTTTTAATTTTTATTTTTTCATTTCATGCTTGCTTTTTGATATTCTGATTCAATATGATTTTGTCATCTAACTTTTTTTTTGAAAGAGAATTGTCATCTAACTTTTAGGATTATTAAAGAACGATTTCAATGAGATAAATGACTATAATTATAATTTATATGAACTTCCCGATTGGATCATTAGACAATCAAAAGATGAAAAAGATACAAAACTGTCATTTTGATGACTATCCACACAATAAAATATAGTTAGAGTCCATATCCATAATTTACTTAGGAAATTATTTTACGTAATCTAATGAAACGTGTCAAAGACATTAAAATCATCTTTTATCCACTAAGGGACCAAACCATTTGATAAACATGAAAAGATAATTCAAACTAACATCCAAAACATAGTCTTAATTTTACTTTTTCTTCATAAATTTTGAGATGCTTTCGTTGTCCAAAACATTTTATAAGCTATACTTTGGGTGTATCTACAATTAAGGTCGTACTTTTATTATGGCCACATTTTGTATTTTATATCTCTTTATTAATATCTAAGTTATGTATTTTAAATTATCATAAAGAAAAAGTCTTAACTAATTGAATATCATATCTTCATTCATATTTCTATAAACCGTATACAAGATAAAGTTTACAATGACCGAAACAGATATTGTATTTTACATTTTTTGTAACATTAAAGAGAAACATGGTATACTATAGGGACAAACTATATGGTAGGGTCCCAAAAAGTGATTATAGATGGTCACTTAGCGATTTGTTTCACAAAAAAGAAGCCACGAATATATATTAAAGAACATAAGGGTACAAGTTGAGCTAGTTGATAATATGTAGTGGAATGAATCCTTTGTATTCCACTAACAAATGTACCCTCATTTATCAAATCATTCAACTAAAACTTTTGGTGGGGATTGAATGGTATTATTCATTATGATGCACAAGGGGTTCAATCAAAGATGAATCATGGTACAGTTTTGTTGAAAAAGAACATCGATCAAAAACATTTCATTTTGTTATAGCAACAAAAGAATGGTAAAGTACATACCATTGCACCTTTCAATTCATCCCAAGCCACTTGAAGGGCCACCTCCATGTCCCTTTTCCAAGTTCATCATTTCAATAGATGGTGATGTTACATTTTGTATCTTTCTGTCTGCTTTTAGTGATATGAAATAAAAAAAAAGAAAACATATTATCTTGAGATAAAGTTCGGTTTAATGAAAAGGAAATGTAGTAGTACAAGCTTTTTACTAGTTGTGTAGTGTCTTCCTCCCTTTTGTATATAATTGGACTTTGATGTTATTCCTCTTAAGGTAACAAAACACCATTTATCTCGAAATAAACCGAGTATTCATGATCTTATATTGGCATGTCGATGTTTAACAAGTCACTAAACATATAATATATTTTCAGTTACATCATTGAAGAAAGTTTTAACCGAGTAAACCGTTATTCACTTCTACATGGCATCTACTAAACATGTTTTGCTAGCAAGATGCCATAGGATTGAATGCATGTTTACCCTTTTAAAATTTTCTTTAATTATGTAATTGAAAACACTTTAAATGTTTAGTGACCTATGATTGGCGACTCAAGCAACAACATTGGAATAGTTGATGGGTATTACATGACTTTAGCCCTTTTTTTAGGTTCAAGAAGGTCATAACATGAATCTTAATCCAAATATCCAAATACAAAGTGCATATAGTATTCATATATAAAAGTTTTATTCCATTATAAATTTGGTAATATGTTTTCTGCCCACCTATGCATACATACATGAAATTAGATAATAAAGAGACAATGTACACTCTTTCCACAAAGTACATACATTATAAAGAAACATAACACCTACAAAACCATGATTTGAACATAAGCACACAACTAATTTTTTAGCAAGACGATGAACCATTACTGGTTTGACCAAGGATAGATGAACGTGGACTTGGAGTTTTCTTGATTTGTAGTCCCCTTAACTCGTTTAAATGTGGACTATAAACCCTTTGTGCGAGACATGGACTATACATAGGCTTCATATCTTGTATTGGAGTTTGGGTCAAACTTGTTATCTTTAGACTGCTTGTGTGGCGTATCTCTCCTCGGCTTCTTGTTATAATTCCATCGAGTACTTCTGCACTATCCACTTGGGTAGTTCTTGCTGGAGTCTCATCGTCCTGCAACCATTTGGCATAAATTGTTTAGATCTTTTATGATTTTATTATTGTTTAGTTGACTTTCATGTTTGACTTACACCGAAGGCCATATTGTAAGGTGTGGCTGAGGCTTCTTCATATTCAGCTGCATCTAAATCTTGAAGATGAGCACCTTTAAAAAACTTAGGAAGCAAATATTGCCTCGCAGGAACAAGAAGCATGATCAAAAGTGGGAAAAGAACACCAGCAATCGGAATCCACGTTATGCCAAAACACGCAAATAAGTAAGCCGTCTGAAACAATGTGAAAGCAGCAACAGTCTTGAAAGGTACAGTTTCCACAAACGTCGCATGATGTTCTTCCAAAACCCTAATCGAAATTTTCATTTCCCAAATTGCTAATCAATCGCAAAATCATAATTACAGCATTTGAAATTTTCGAAATCGGCTGAAAAACTTACTTGTATCTTCGACTTGGAGCAGTGAAAAGCAATAAAATCCGCTCCCAAAATTGATTCCCCGGTAAACTCTCGATCGCCATGAAAGCAAAATACCCCCAAAGAACTGAAGTCGGGATCTTTTTAAGAACAGGCATCGCAGCAACACACGCACCTACCATTAACGCTTGTAGCACATTGCTAAGTCGTTGTTCTTTCACTTCAACATGTAAAAGATCATCGACATCTTTATCGACATCAAATACAGTCTCATCAACTGGTGCGTTTATGTAACCACTACTCGATGCTTGCTGAATTGTCGACTCTTTTAGCTCTTTCAGTCCCTGTTTGAAATGAAATTATTCAAATTAATGAATGGAGAACATACAAGAAGACTCTGTTTACAACTGTATTTGATAAAGATTGTTTACCAGACTTGATGGATTTTGATAAACGAGTGGAGTCTGCATTTCGTTGTATGCTTGTTGCATGTCCTCGTATAGCTCACTCAAGTTTGAACTTTTGTTTATACTTTTTCGAGCAGTGTCCACAAGTTTCCTTCGTAGAAGCTGTTTCAAATGGACATAAAGTATTATGAAAATTTCAACATTTTCTTTAGTTTGAATAATAATAATAATAATAAGATGTACCTGATGTTTTAGAGTGGCTAAGCTCTTTGTATGCATTGGAGATTGTGGAATAACTCCATTTGCAGGAGGAATGCCAATTAGCCCACATAGAATAGTCTGATTGACACAAAAAAAAAAAAAAAAAAAAAAAAAAAAAAAAAAGAACACTAAAAAACAATGTTTCTATGATCTTGGACAATTAAAGCAATGATCTTTACCAGAAAGCCCAAAAGAAGGAGATCATAATGATATGAAGAAGGTTTCTTTAAATTGAACTCTTTTTGTTGAGCAAGTTGAGATGCAACACTATGATCAAAATAGTAAAGCACTGCAATCATGGTTGCTGGAATAAAAGCTCCAACAATATAAACAGGAGGCACCTTCAACATTCCTGCAGGAAATTTAAGTATCAAAGTATAAAATTTGAATTTTATAAAAGAAAAAAAGATTTTTTTTATACCTTGGCAACAGTCCAGTTTGTATATGCACCAGGAGACCATGGATTGGGGCTGAAAAGCCGCCTTGGGATCCCATTTGGGACATCATTAACTGGCATATATGAAACACCAGTCCAAACAACCACCATAAAAGGGACACCATAATCCGCAATCAATCCACGTAACCATCCTTTAAACATTAATTAAAAACAGAAGGTGAAATACATAAACAGTGAAAGCAGATACTAGCAATAAAGCAGACTCCTTCAAGTCTGACCTGTTCCATAACGCCATGACCTTGCTTTGCGACTCTTCAAAGCAGTAATAAGAAGACCGAAGGACAAAACCAGTGCAAACATTCCATTCCCAAATCGCCAAGAAGGTTGAAAAGCAGGTTGATTTGGATCCTCACTTTTTGGAATACCAAACTCCTCCACAACTCCCTATCAAATACAATTTGTGTATATCATATTAGCAAATTTGTATTCGAAAAAGTTTGTGTGAAATGAATGGAAGAATAGTGATACTCACTTTAATAGCCTGTTGCATGAATAGCATTGCGATTAGAAGACCAAACAACTCACCAGCTACACGTGTGAATCTATTGATAATTGAGCAGGCACCCAGAATAGAAAGCAAAATCAGCAAAAAAGCAGTCCAAACGCAAACCCTGTTCTCATTCAGATTATGTAACTTAAATTAATACTTTTTTTTTTTTTTTTTTTAAGTTAAGTGATAAAAAGTTTTTAAAGTGGATCCTGATCATATGAATAATAAAGGCAGAAAGTACCATCCAGACCAAGCTAGAAAAAGGGGTTGCCCTAAATCCTTTTGATCTTTTGCAAACTTGAACATAAACGTGTACATCAACACTGTTGGCTCTGCAACTCCTAGAATAAGCAGTGGTTGTCCTCCAACTATAGCATGTATGATGCCACATATTGCTGTTGATGCTAGAGTTTGAACTGCAGTTAGACTACCCTCTGTAACAATATAAGCAATCATAAAGATTTATGTTAACAAAATCATAAAATTTTGAACACTAGAAAAAGTTTCCAAACCCGTGTCTCTTTCTAGTTGTTCCCCAAAAGATATAACTGGAATTGCTGAAGCAAAGAAGATGTAAGTTGTTGGAGCTAATATCCTGATCATGAAAATGTAAGAATCATCATTTTAGAGCTACCACATCAAATGTAAGTTATATTCACAAGAATTTAAAATGTAACAATAAAATGAGGTATTGAAGAATTAAGAATAAAAAACCTGATTCCCGCACGGATGCCACCTGTCCAGTCTTGCTTGTAGCACAGTAGTCTGGCTTTGAGATCTTTCTTGATTCCACGAAAGGGAACAAATGTTTCTTCCATGATGAATGTTTCTCTTTTTTGAAAAACAAACTTGAAATAGGAATGGCAACAATAAAAAGTTGAAGGCTGATACTATTACTAATAACTCAAAACAAACGAATGCGTCTAGAAATGGGCAGAAACAAAAGGAGTTTTACTTCATTGTGATGGTTGAAATCTTTTGTTGAATTAGTAAGTTTGGTGTATATGACTATAAGGATCACCCCTGATGAAGCTCATGATAGTAAAAATCTATATACACTTGCTGATGATTACATCTTGGGGGTTCATAAAAGAATGAATATAAAAGGTTTTGGTAAGAATATCAGAAGAATAAATTAGTGATGAATGTGAACTAGATGAAGGTGGACTTCCCTATTTAAACTCCATAGGCAAATGAGAGGGAAAGTTACTAACGAAAAGAATTCATCAACATATCCTCCATTCACAAAAATCTCAATTTAAGTTTGATCCATCGGAAGAACATAATCCATCATCTTTCTAAACTCTTGTTCTTGGAGGCAAATCATCGAACAGTAACAATGCAATATCAACCAGCGTACGAATTACATGTCTGTAAATCAAATCGCGGGATATCTGAAACCTCAAAGAAGTTCAAAAACTGACCACTGCCAAAACCCGAATTTAGCGTACACCCATTTATCAAAGAGGAACGCAAACTGATCTAAAGCAGTTTGAAGCAAATGGGTATTGCCAGAATTGAAGTAGGCTCTATTCTTGGGGTGAAATTAGCGAGAACTCATGATGAAAATACGGAAAAGGAAGATTCACATGAGTATTGCTAATGGACAATAGCTAAAGAGAGAAAATGATGAACAAATTACTTACTTTGCTCTTACATTATAATACGAAGAAGAAAAGACGAGTTTAAGTTGAACAGGCAAGTTCAAGAACAGAAAAGCATGCGTTCACATAACTTTCGAATCTACATGAATTTGAAATGTACCCAACTGAATTGAACAGGTAGAGAGAGATATTAGAGGTAGTTAGGGGAAGAAATTGAGAGAAAGAGAGAGAATGAGATCGATTTTGGCGTGAATGAGAGATATAGTGTGTGGTGAGTAAGCATAAATAAACACTTCGTCCTGCTCAAGACAAAATAAACTACACAAAAACACATAACTCGTACATGAGAACGAAAGGGACACAAGAAAAATATGTATAGACTAAAAGAATATTGTATTTCAATTTTTCAAAATATAGTATTTTTCTAGGACCATTTAATTCAAAACACCAAAAAAATATCTTAAGATATTAAGAAAATTTAGACCAAGTTTAAAATATCAAAGAAAAAATGTTTAAAATATATAAATAATCTACTGATTTATGATTTATATGTGAAAGTAAAAATTTTTGTTTTTATCTTTTCTCCGTGTCTATGTTTATGGGATACATTTGTTCGAGTTTTAAATTAAGTTTTCAAGTTGATAATGATGTATTTATATTAAAGCTATGTTTGTCGTATGTTAGCTAATAAGCTAATTTATTATTATTTATTATTATTATTTTTAAGTTATCACGTTTAACAAACAAAAAATAGTTTATAAGTTAGATTTTTAAAAAGCTGCTTTAACTAATTTTTCAGCAGCTTTTATAAAAAATTTCAGATATACCCTTAATATATATATATATATATATATATATATATATATATATATATATTTCATTTTATGTCATTTTATATTTTTCAGCTAGCGTATCAATTACTTTTACCAAACGACATTTTTTACCAACTAGTTTTTCAGTCATTAGTTAATTTTTCATATAACAACAACATTTCAGCTATCAACTAACTTTTCAGCTACTATATCAAATATAGCTTAAAACAATATAAACTTTATTAGTATCATGGGTAATGTATCGTATTTTTATAAGGTCATATAATTACATGACATGCGAGGTGCATGTTGCTGACTTGGACACCCTGTAGGTTTGGTGATGAGTTGTGGCGTAAAGGTTTGTGGCCTTATATATATATATATATATATATATATATATATATATATATATATATATATATATATAGAGAGAGAGAGAGAGAGAGAGAGAGAGCTAGGTTCAAATTTGGATTAACATCTATTGTGCGGACGTGTGGACAATGCTATTATGTGATAATGACAAAGAAAATATGTTGTTTGATAATATGAATACGTTTAATCTTACATAACTATTGTCATTATCACACATTCTCACTAATTAAATCGTCTATAAGATTATTATAGACTTTTTATTATTATGCTCATTCTGTCAGAATGTTGTCAGGATGTTTGTTGAGTCGTATTCTGTAAGAATGAAAATGAGTGAAAAATGATGTTTGAGAACAAAAATAAATAAGAATTATTGAGAATTGATTAAAATGACGATATTTATGTGAGGTTGAACGTATTCACATTAATAAACAACTTATTTTCTTAGTGATTCTCATAGAATAACATTGTCCACACGTCCGCACAATAGTTGTCCATCCACATTATAACCTAGCCCTATATATATATATATATATATATATATAGATATATATATATATATATAATTAAAAAGATCAACTAATGATTCTGATGATAATAAAAACTTTCCCAAATTTAAAAGATTTGTTTATGGATAAAATCTAATTTGCATTCTAATCAAAATTATTGATTATTTCATTTTGACATTATAAAATCATTTATACATTCACATAATATTTATCATTCACACACACGTGTGTATATATATATATATATATATATATATATATATATATATATATATATATATATATATATATGAACTACAAAAAGTTAGGAACTCTAAAAAAATCATTTGAAGTTACTAAACCATGAATAAAGACAATTTATCTAAAAAAGATCCCTACCATTCACCTAAAAAAGACGAAGGGGTCTGATTATATGAGTTAGAATCATCTTTTTTAGTTTTTTTTTTATTATTTTTGATAAAAAAAAAGGGCAAAATTAACATTTTCACAAACTAGATAAGATAGTATTCACAATTTAATGCACCTTTGTAACATCTCAAAATTCAGACATTTTTTTCAAAATCGAAGTATAATAAAGTCTTAATAAAACATAGATCCCAATTAATTATATCAAATCCAATTGTTTAAGTCAAACAAATCTCATCATATTATCCTACCAAACCATAATAGCATCAAGATGCGGAAGCATAAAATATTGTTGTAACACTCCAAAAATCACAATAAATTTAAAATTTTCAAACCAACCATTAATCAATATTGTTTACAAAAAGAGTCATTGTTTCAAAAGTCATTATTCAAATTGGAGTTTTCCCAAGACCCAATGACATAAAACAGGAAACTGTGTACGATCATGCCTTTGCCTTTCCATGATCCTCTGAAGTACCTGAAACGATAAACTAAAAACTGTAAGCCAAAGCTTAGCGAGTTCCCCCATAGTACCAGCACACCACATATCAAATAAGCATACAAATATGAACAGCCAGCCTGACTGGACCGCCTCGCAGGGCCTACAACCTATCTGGACCGCTTTACGAGCCTTCGACATAACTGTACCGCCTCGTAGGGCCTACATCCTTTTCGGACCGCTCCATGGGCCGCTGAACTAACTGGACCGCCTCGCAGGGCCTACAGCCTATCCAGTCGTCCCCGGGTGTCTTGGCCTACAACACAAAGCAGGACCGCTTCAACCCAACACAACATGTCGACATATACAACAAATAAACATAAACACAGAATCAACAAATATAGATAATCATACGGATCTACTAAACAACTACAAACTATCATATCACTATCCTGACCAGGTTAAATAATCTAGTGGGCCGACATTGGTGCCTTTGATCGATGGGTATAGTGAGGAAAACTCACATCTCAGTCTGAATACAGTCTGAAATAAATCCCTGCTCCGACAACCGGCTCTACTCGACTCCTAAATATCAAAACATTTCCCATTCTAAATTAATAAAAATTTTCCCAAAATACCCTTGGTCAAAACTAGTCGAAATGAACAAAGTCCATTGAGTCAACCCAACCGAGTCAACCCTGCCGAGTTAACTCGAGCCTCGTATGCAGGGCGTACTTTGGGAGTATGCGGGGCATACTCGAGTCCGAGGCATCGGGGCTCAACCTGCGTACGCACAGTGTACCCTTTTGGTACGTCCAACGTACGCACATGTTGCTTCTTAACCCATTAAGAGCTGAATATTGCGACTTTTTACATCCAAATGCAGATCCAAGGCTAAAATACCACTGAGAGTCATGAAGTTTCCAACATTATGACTTTGCATGCCCATTAAGTGCTTAATACACCAAAATCCCTACTTCTTAACACCTTAAGACCTTCTAGAGCATGCATGGGGAAGAACTAAGAATTAAGACAACATTTTATGACTCAAGACCCCTCATTGGGTCTGAAAGGACAACTAATTTGATCAAGAGCATGCCATGCTCAAGAATCACAAAGGTTGGGGACCAAAAATACCCTAAATGGAGGAATATCTAGATCTACATGAAAGGATGATCAAGCTAGGAGCTTTTTACCTCCTGGAGGTTGCTAGCAAGTAGGGAATCCCAGATCCAAGCTCCAAAGTCCTTCTACCACCTTCTTCTTCTTCTTCAAGAACACCACCAAAACACACAAATGAGCTCAAAATGCACTCTTCTCACTTGGGGTTAGCTAGAGGGACAAAATTTGGATGGAGGCTGATTAGGGTGAAGGTCTTGGGGCCATAACGTTGTTTAAATAGGGTCCAAACCCTATAGGGTTTGCAACCCTCGCACGTACGCCCTGCGTACGCGATGTACGCCCAGCGTACAAGGCCCCACGCAGGTACGCCTTGCATACAAAGTGTACGCCCAGCGTACTAAGGCTTCGGTCAAAATTACTAAAATGCCACTTTGAGCCATTTTGCAATCCTCTTCATGCACAAGGGCCAAAAATGCAATATTCTTCACATATAAGGTTTAAATCGAAGTTACCTCATCAACAAGATGTTACAATTCTCCCCCTCTTGGACTAGACTTCGTCTTTAAAGTTTGATGCTGTGAATAACTCAGGATAATGCTCCTGTATCTCCGCTTCCGGTTCCTAGGTCCACTCGGAGCCTTTCCGATGTTGCCACTGAACCTTTACTAAAGGTATCTCCTTGTTGCGTATGACCTTCATCTTTCTCTCCATCACTGCCACCGGCCTCTCAATATAATTCAGGAGCTTATCGACCTGAATATCATCCAAAGGGATCACTGCCTCATCGTCCAACACACACTTACAAAACTACGAAACATGGAAAGTGTTGTGGATCTGACTGAGCTCACTCGACAAATCCCAACCGGTAGGCCACCCTGCCTACCATGGCGATCACACGAAACGGTCCAATATACCGAGGACCCAATTTTCCCCTATTCTTGAAGCGTATCACACCCTTCCAGGGTGAGACCTTCAGTAGTACCATATCGCTGACCTGAAACTCAAACTTTGATCGACGTCGGTCGGCATAGCTCTTCTGCCGAATCTGAGTTGTCTGTAATCTCTGCCTGATATGTTGGATGAGCTCTGTAGTCTGGAGGACCACCCCAGTCCTCCCCATGACTCTATGACCAACCTCCCCCCAATAAACCGGGGTACGACATCTCCGACCATACAAAAGCCCGAAGGTCGGTGCACCACTGCTGGAGTGATAGCTGTTGTTGTAGGAAAACTCTGCAAGAGGTAGGTAGGAATCCCAACTCCCACCAAAATCTATGACACAAGCTCGCAACATATCCTCAAGTGTCTGTATGGTCCGATCACTCTGGCCGTCGGTCTACGGATGATAAGAAGTGTTGAAATGTAGCCTCGTACCCAGTTCCTCATGGAACTTCTGCCAGAATCGGGAAGTGAACCGAACATCTCGATATGATATAATGGAAACCGGAACCCCATGAGGAGCAACAATCTCATGAACATACACATCGGCCAACTTCTCGGCCAAGGAGCTCTCCCAGATCGCCAAAAAGTGGGCACTCTTGGTCAATCGATCCACGATGACCCAGATAGCATCAAAACCATTGGCAGTCTTCGGTAGCTTGGTGATAAAATCCAT